GGGGAGGGTTGCTGAGGGCCCTGGTACCTGAGCAGGTGGGACACCAGGCTGGTCACCAGCGACAGGTCCCCAGGGTTCCTCTTGAGCTTGGCCTTCCAGTGTTTCGGCCAGTCCTGCAGGACAGGAGACCTTGGAGGAGAGCGAGGCAGGACCCCCACGATGGGATGCCCCCCCTTGCCCCTCCCACACCTCTGCCAAGGCTGCATCCCAGCAGACCCGGACTATTAATAGCCTCCCTGAGGTGTAGGGAAGACCCAAGGGCCAGCAGGCCTGCAGGACCCCGCCCTCCAGCTGGGAACCATGTGACCTTAGCCCCGCCCCGGGCACCTGCACCCGCAGGACTCACGTGGTCTTGCTCGTACTCCAGGATAGCCGTGTAGAGGGCCCGCTGCTCCCGCTCCTCTGGGGTCAGGGTGACCTGACTGCAGAACCTCCTAGGGAGGAAGGACCGGACTCAGGCTGTACGGGCGGGCGGAAGCGAGTGCCCCACCCGTCCTCAGCTGCCCTGAGACTGAGATCGACGGAGGAGACGCACCTGTTGGCGGCTTCCTGGAGCCGCAGCCGGCGCTCCTCCATCTTCCTGTGCAGCTGGGGTGGTAGAGTTAAGACCGCGTCTGGTCGGGGCCCCCCCATCCCCGGCCTTCCCAGCGCTGTGCCAGACAAGGGTCCACCGGACAAGGGCACGCCTTGGCTCTCCAGGAGGTACTGTCCAGCCGGGAGGGCCGGAGGACGGGCACCCACTGAGGAAAGGCAAGTCCTAGGTGGCTTGAAGGATGGAGCAAAGGTTGGCCTCGCAGGACGGCCTGTGCAAAGGCCCGGAGGGTGACAAGAAGAAGGTTGTGCAGGAACCATTCCTGAGGACATGCCTCTCCCGAAGTGGAAGCATTCTATCCCCACACCCCAACCCTGTCACCTTTACTCCCCCCCTTTTCTCTCAGCTCAAGGTCACATTCTGAATTTCCCTCTGGACAGCAAGGATGGACGGACAGAAAGGATACTGTCTCCTCCCGGGCTTTGGCGATCACCAGGTTCTCCATCATCTGCCGCTGAAGGGTCAGGGTCTAGGGAAGGAAGAGGGAGTAAGGCCTGCTTCCCTCCCCCACCCGCACAGCGCCTCCCGGGGGCCGCTCACCAGCGATGTCTTCTGCATGGCCTGGCTGGGGTCCAGACGGGCCATCCGGGCCTCATATGCGGCCTTTAGCTTCTGATTCTGCAGGGAGGCCTCCTCCAGGGGTGTCAGCTCCCTGGAAAAGGTTACAAGCTGCTGTCCAGGCCCCAGGAAGCCCAGCATGTTCTGGTGACCTGAGGACCCTTTCGGACCTAGCCCTGAGACCAGAAGGTGAGAAGGTGGTGATGGGGCCAGGCAGGGAGGGAGGGAGGCGGTAAAGGAGGGAGGCGGTCTGGGCTGGACTGGAGACCACTGCCCCACTGAAAGGTGCGTGTACTGTTGCCAGGATTCCTGACTTTTCAAGGGACATCAGACCTTTACGCAAATCACTCATGTGTCTGCCAGCAACATGAAACTCTTTAAAGACACCATCTGAGCCAGACAGAGAAGCTTGCAACTCACAAAAGGGAGAACCATGTCCACTGGATAACGGCTACCAACACCCACCCACCACCAAAGCTTTGGGTCCCACCTATATTCCTGCTTTCATGGGTGGGAGAGGGAAGGTTTGTCTTGGGGTGGAAGTCCTGGGCTTGGCCCTGCCCCAAAGCTGCACATGCAGAAACGAGGTGCCTGGAACCTCCTGTGTCGCACTGACTTGTGAGGCCTGGCCGCAGTGTGGCCAGGAGGAGCTGGGCCTCCGTGTTTATCCCACTCGGGATGCTTGCATCTGTGTCTCGATGTCTTTCATCAGTTCTAGAAAATTGCTGTTATGTCTTCAAAAAATGTGCCTGTCTTGTTTCATTTCTTTTTCTGGAACTCCAATGACATTATCTTAAGACTTTCCAGCTCTCTCAAATTTTCTGTTTTCTTTTTTTCTTTCTGTAAGTCATTTTGGATATCTTTTGACTTCTTATCCAATTCACTAATTCTCTCTTCAGCTATGTCTTCTCGGCTGTTATAAACTTGTCCACTCATTTTGTGCACTTGTGTGGATTTTTACTGGAGCATAGACAGTTGACTGTTGAACAACATGGGTATGAACTGCACAGGTCCACTTATACATGGATTTTACTTAAAATAAAAAATTTACTTAAAATCCGCGTATAAATGGGCTCACACAGTTCAAATCTGTGTTGCTTAAGGGTCAATTGTATTTTTGATTTGCAGAGGGCAGACTTATGTTATACTTGGATTTTCGACTGCATGGGTGGTCTGCACTCCTAAGTCCCCAGTTGTTCAAGGGTCAACTGTAATTTGTTATTTCCAATTACTTTTTAAAAATAATTTTGGTATTACATTTTTCATTTCATTTCTACTTGGTTCTTTATTTGCTGGGTCAGATTGCTTAGTTTCCTGCAGGTATTTTCAAACTTTTTTTTTTTTTTAATTTTATTGGGGAACAGCCATGGTCATTGGTTACACATTGCTCTCATGCTACAGTGGCATAGTTGACTCTTTTTAGGGAGGGCGCAGCTCACAGTGGCCCATGCGGGGATTGAACCAGCAACCTTGGTGTTATCAGCACCACGGTCTAACCAACTGAGCTAACCGGTCATCCTCAAACGTGATTTTTTTTATTTCTCTAAATATGGAGAGCCTGGTTGTTTCATAACGTGTCTGATAACTCTATTCAAATCCTCTAGGTATTTTTCTGCTGGCATTCCTTCATAGTTTCTTTTTGTGCTTGGTTATCTTTGACTGTGTGCCACTTATTTTATGAAAGTTGAAGGTGCTTTTCTCCAAAGACGATTTGCATTTGTTTCTGCCAGGCACATGGGTATTTCCACTCTTGAACCCATTTTAACTAAATTCACTATTGCCTGGCCTTCAAACCCAGACTCAGTCCACCTTCCATTTTGCCCCGTCTTACTTCTTAGAGCTTTGCGACTCGACCACCTGAAGCCTCTGGAAGATCTCAGGCGGCAGAAACGGAAGAAGCTTTCCCCCTTCATCTGAATACACCCGGCGGTGTCGGCTGGTAGGCAAGGAGACGGGAGCAGGCACAGGCATGGCTGGCTTCAGGCATGCTTTCCCTGCAAGACACAGGGAGCCAGGAGTCAGCACAGAGCCCCACATCCCACAGAGGAGAGACAGGCTTGGGGGGATGCCCCAGGAAAACCTGATGGAGACCCACCAAGCTTGTTAGCTGTTGACTGGGCCCTCTCCAGACACTGCTCTGCCAGCTTCAGCATCTTCAAGGTTTCTGGGGGCATGGTTTCCCCATCTTCTGGGGAACAAGAGACAAAAGGATGGTCACCGTCACCTCAATCACTAATCAGATTCTTGCTGAGATAAAAACAAGGACAAGTCTGCCCCTCCTAACCTCTGACCCCTGGGCCAACCCACCCCCTCCTCATCTCTGACCACCTGCCCTGGTTAGCTCGTCTCCCTCATCTCTGACCTTGGGTGACCCCACCCCTTGTCATCTCTGACCCCCAGGGAACCCTTCCCCTCTCTGACCCCTAAGCAAGCCCACCCCCTCCTCATTTCTGACCGTCTGTCCTGGGTTTACCTCCTGACCCTGTGTGAGCTTTGAGCTTGGCCAGCCAAGCATCTGACTGACTGTCCTGTTGTCTTGGCTGAACCATGAGAGCCCTCTGTCTACCCAACTGGGCCTTTTCTCTTCCCCGAGGGCTTTACTTGCACCTACTGCCCCTCCTCGCAGCTGACATAGGCCGCCTCACAGAGACAGCTTTGTCCCCCATCTCCCAGCCTCTGGCTGTGCTCAACCCCGCCCCTGCACCCCGTCCTCCCAAGATTGTGCCTATCAGCAGCGTGTGCTGTGGGAGCTGCCACCTGAGGCCCTCCCGCCCCTTACCCCGTCCAGCCTGCCTGCCCTTCCTCACATTTGGTACCCGCTCTCACCTCAGGGCTTCTGTACGTCCCTCTGCAGGGAATGCTCAGCCAACTCCTACCTGACCTGGGCTGGGGTCCGACGTCTGGTCTCCGATCAGGCCCCACCCTGTCTCCATCCCTTTCTTGCTCCACATCACAGCACAATAGGTCATGCTTACTGAGTGCCCACCCGTTCACCTTTGGCTAATGACCAAGTGGGTAGGACACAGGACACCCCCAGGCCTGGGACCCACCAAGGGCTAAGGTGTCCAAAATTTGCCGAGTACAGGAGTAGCGGTGAGGCTGAGAGCTATACCTTTGGTGATTTCCACTTCTTCCAGCAGCACCTGGGAGATGTAGTGGATACTCCTTAGGTATTCTGTATATGCCTCCTGTGCCCAGGGAAGAGAAATGGCAGTGTTAGGCCAGGAGAGGCAAAGGATCCCCTCACGCCTGCCTGGTGCCCTCGTGGCAGACAAATGAGAAGTGATGTCTGCTTCTCTCTGAGCCACACGAGAGAGCTACCCTGACGTGGTCACTGATGAGCTAGTCTAGTCAATCAGTGATGTTCTGCCTGGGGCACCGTGTCCCTCTTCTCCAGACTTGAAGGCAATGCTGCACATCTGGTACCCCTCCTTCCGCCCACTGCCTTTCTTCCCAGCACAGGAAGGAACTGATTCTCATTCCAGGGCCAGGGAAGCAGTTTTGACAGTTGCAGTCATTTTTCATTATGTAACAAGTTTCCTTCTTGTGCAACTCAGAGGCCTTTTCATTCATTGGCTTTAAAAAACTATTTCCTGGGGGTGAGGGGGGAAGTTAATGAAAGAGTGATGTTGCAAATGTTAGAATCATTGTCCTGCTTGGGTTCTGGGAAATCCCTTTCCTGAACCCCAGAATACGCACTGCCTGGGCACGCAGGAGTCTAGGACACTAGAATATTGCCAGCTTCGAGGGCGTGAGCCTTCTGTCCCGGGGACCCTGACAGCTCAGGGCGTTGGGAACCACAGCATGGTATTTTGTTTTGTTGCATCCTAGTTCTCAAATTACTCATCGTTAATTCTGCACCTCAGAGATAAGGTTAAAATGGATCCGTGAAGAATGACTGGCTCGTGGGGGCACCTGCCTCCCTAGAAAACCGACTTGAGAAAAGCAGGGGATTCAGGGCCGGGATGGTTTTCCTAGGCTCACATGGCCTCCTCCCATCTTTGGGCAGCCCTGGGTGGCTCGGCCGGCTTTTCCACCTGGTCGCCACCCTTTTCCTCAACACCCATTCCTGGCAACAAGGCACACCTCCCCCGCCTGCTTTCCTTCCCAATAAGCTCCAAGGCACCTGGAAAAGCACAGCACGAACTAGCCGCAACTAACCTTTTCTGGATTACGTCCCCTGTGCGATCTGATTAAATGTACAGTGTCTGCCCAGAAAAACGCACATACACATTGAATTGTCTGCCAGATATAATTTGCAGGCTGCTTCACAATCCTATTGCATCCCCATTTACAAATAAGACCTCCGCTCCAGTTGCCGATTCGCTGAACTGACTGAGGGCAAGAGAGGGCTGGGAGCTGTCCAAGGTCATAAGCCAACTCCCGAGCCCAGCGCCCCGGAGCCACCGGAGGGGTCCTGGCCCGCGCCCACCCCGCGGCCCCGCCCTCGCCCACGCCCATCGGGCTGGCCTCGGTCGGGGGCCGTCCCGGCCTCGCCTCGCCCTGCCTCGCCTCACCCGGGGCTGGTTGCCGGTGTCCAGCTCGATGGCCCCGTTAGCTAGCTTCATGGCGCACTGCAGCGGCTTCACCGTGCCGTCCCCGGCCGCAGCGGCCATGGCGCCGGGCGGGGGGGTGGGCAGCGGTGGCGGCCAAGGGGCGGGGCGGGCGGCCGGAAGACCGGAACAAAGACTTCGGGGGAGCGGACGCCGCCGGAGCAGCGGACCGCCGGAACAGACGGAACGGGCGCGAGTGCACTTCCGGCTGCCCCACCCGCGCCGCGCGCTCAGCTCCTGAGGCTGAGGGGCGGAGCTCTCAACTTCTCCACGCAATTGCTACGAATATGTAAGTGCAACCACCGACGCCCTCCACGTCTGCGACACACCAGCCGTGCAGGCCCTGCCGCGCCCCTCCTCGCTCCGCCCTTCGCTCTCTTCACTCCGCCCCCCCTCCTGCCCCGCTTTTCGGCCTTATCACCACGCCCCGCTTCTGTCCCTCTTCACTAAGTCCCGCCCCCTCATCTCACCCTCCTCCATCGCCCCGCCCCACCACACTCGTCACTCAGTCCCACCCCCTCCCATCACTCCTCACCCCTCCCTCATCGCCCCGCCCCCTTCACGCCGCTCCTCGTCTTTCTCACCCGCCCCTCCCCTCCTTGCTCCGCCCCGCTCTGCTTCCAGCGAGCCGAGCGGAGCCGAACGGCGGAGACGGGCGGAAACGAGCGAACACAGTCCAGCCGAGCTGACGAGACCTCCGGGCAGAGCAGGAGCCAGCTGGGCCAAGCAGCCGGGCCCAACGAGCCGAGCGCAGCCGAGCGGGACCGAGCAAGGCCGATCAGAGCCGAACGGAGCGGAGTCGGGCCGAGCCGAGCCGGGCGGAGCGCCGGGGCCGCCGCCATGAAACGCGACCGGCTCGGCCGCTTCCTGTCGCCTGTGGCAGCGGGGCAGCGCGGGGGCTCCGGCGCCGG